AACAATTAATGGGTTTCGTCTTGTGCCATTAATGCACCGATTGCTCTGCTTCCCACTCTTTCTCATTAATGGTTGCTCTGTAACGTCAGTTCCAACCAAACTTATCAGTAATACTTATCGACAAGTTACACTTTTTTTAAAAGTACCCAAAATTTTGTAGAGTCCCAAGAAAATCCAATTTTTTTATTTAATATTAAATTAATCCAAATAAAAAACTGTTTTACATGGAGTGACTGGATGTAAGAGTTTTGTGAAGAAATAGAGATTTACAGCTTAAGGTACGAACGAAACGATGAGCAAAGAGAAACGTTTGTTATTGCTGTATATGCTTTTGTGAATAAAGTTGCGGATCGCTTTTATAAGGGTTTGTACATTGATATATATACCTCCCTTAGTCGGCTAGACATATTTCCTAAAGATAATGTTAACTTTCCTAAGTCTTTGCGGATTTCCTTTTCTTTACGTCGGTTGCGTCGAAGTGGGCTTCGTAATTGGATTGGGCTTTAACGCAGGGAACCTTCCGGCCTTTGTCGCTACTATGGCAGGTCTTTGGTGGTCAATGACATCGCTGGCAGTGTGACATCGCTGTCAGTGTGACATCGCTGGCACTGTGACGTCGCTGGCAGTGTGACGTTGCTGGCAGTGTGACATCGCTGGCAGTGTGACCTCGCTGGCACTGTGTCCCCGCTGGCTCTGAGACCTTACTGCATTCATGCCTTCTGCTGCGAGTAGAGAGGACTCAGAAAGCTGCCTTCTTGTACGAGAAGACTTAGGAAAGGAGAAAGACTTCATTTTCTTGTTAGAAAATGACTTGGGAGAATCATATAATATCTGTACGTTAATGCGATTTCGTATCTATACGCTGCGCTTGCATAACTTTGGACTTCAACGTTGAGTGGATGAAATCCGACCCCAACAGAGTGCTTTTTTTTTTCTTTTATTGTTTAATAGCTAAAAAATCAGGAAGTTTTTTCTAGTGTACACTCTGCATTGAAACACG